AATGGGTTATTACTATTATTTTAGATGAATTAATAAATGTTTCAAAATTTTTTCAGTTCTAATTTCTAATATGGTAATATTGACAGATATAACCACATACACAAAAGCTCTTTGAGGGTCTCAATTTTTCAGAGTGAAAACTGTCCTGGGAGCCAAAAGTCTGAGAACTGCTGCTATAAAGTACTGTACAAATAGTAGATATTTTTACTTTATATCATTGACCTTTAAAGAAAAGAAGTATCACGTGATAAAACAAAAAAGGATGCATGCCTCTTATGGAAAAGTTAGAGAATTATAGATAAATAGAAAGAAGGAAATAAACAGTATCAATAATCCTATAACACAAAGAACAACTGTTACCATTTTTGTTGCACTTTTCTCAGTATTCTCTCATTGTAAATATCTAGCCTGTGATCTTTACAGGCTTCGTCAGTCTTCAGAGTTTAAATTGGGGTGGCACGGGGAGTTTGGGGCGGTTATTCGCCGGCCCTCGGACCACCAGCAAGATCTCGGCTCCGCCCCGGTCATCTCTGGTTGTTTCATCGGGTGGTGTCTCGTGTTTGCTCATCACTGAGTCTTTGGTTACAACACGTCCATCTTTTCCTTCCTCTTCTGCTCTGCCGCTTCGGAGCCGGGGATGCTAAGGTCCGCACAGTTCGCCGCCTCCTGCGGGTCAAGCATCTCCATCTCCGCGGGGCGTACCCCCCACTCCCCCATCCCCCCGCCACTCCAGTGCAATGGGCGGGAGCTCCGGGGCTACGGAAGTGGTGGGCACTGGGTCTGCTGGAATCGGTCCTGGGTGCCGAAAAGCCTGGCTGTGGGCAGGGCCTCCCTCCCTCCTTGAGCGGTATTTTGTCCGACGGGCGCTGATGCTGTGCAGTTTTACCGAAAGCATCTTCTTCCTCGTCATCTCCCTTCGATTCTTGCCCACTTTCTAGTCCTGAGCTAGGAGCCCCGTGGAGGGCTAGAGATGGGGCAGTTTTCACACTGAGCTCTGAATATCGCGAGAAAGAGCCTCCCCCTGACGGCCAAGTTGCAGAACTTTAGGACTTGGGACTTCATAGCGGCAGTTCTCAAACTTTCGGGTCTCAGGACCCATTTTCACTCTTAAAAATTGAGACCCTCAAAGAGTTTATGTGTATGTGGTTATATTTGTCGATATTTACCATATTAGAAATTAGAGCTGAAATTGTTTTTAATATTTATTAATTCATCTAAAATAACAGTAACAACTTATTACATTTTAACAAATACTATTTTTATGAAAAATAACCATAACACCATATTTTTATGAACTATAAAAAATTTTTATGAAAAAAATTGGGTACCTCCCTCTTTCATAGAAATCGTGGGATCATATTCCTTCTCCATTTGATCTGTGGTTCTTAAGTTTTTCTTTTAAAAAGTTGGTGTTGGGCTTCCCTGGTGGTGCAGTGGTTGAGAGTCTGCCTGCCGATGCGAGGAACACGGGTTCGTGCCCCGGTCCGGGAAGATCCCACATGCCGCGGAGCGACTGGGCCCGTGAGCCCATTTTTGGGGGGGTTGACACTTGGGTTTGTGCTTGTGATTTTGATATTACGTACACGTATGTTAGTCCTCATTTCTATGGGCAAAACAGTTCTCAAGTCTTTAAAATTTTTAAATTTCACAATATTTTCCAAAAAGCACCGTGACAGCCAGGGGCTTTCCCACCTGAACCACCGACTATAGATCTCAACAGCAGACCATGTTTGTCTTGTCTGCCCAGAGATTTGGAAGGAGAATGCTAAGTCAGCCTCTTCTTTCTCGGAACAGATACAGCTCAGAATCCACTTTAAAATGATGCAGGTTCTCTATAGAACTGAGGTATTTAGACAAAACTTGGAGACTCTCCATGTGAGAATCACAAATGGCTTAAAATTTGAGAAACCCTAAAGGAAAAATCCAAAGTTCTCTTTTACACAGCACAGAAAAGCGAGCTCTGAGAGGTCCCTTGGCTACTTGCTTTAAAGCTGCCTGTGCTACCTAAACGTCTCATTGGGCGAACGATGGCTGTTCCCTGGGTCCTGCACATTGACTCAGGTGAGACATTAACAAGCATTTTCTGATTTTAAGGGGTATCAGACAAGTGCCTTAGGGTGTCCACCTTTAGAAGCATAAATAAAAGGGACAGTGCTTTATTTTGAAGTCTGGGCTAATTTCAGGCTTACTTAGACGGGAGATGTGTTAGTACATCTCTAACAGGTGCAAGCTGAAACTGCTCATCTTTAAGGGGTGAGAGTGTAGATGGTCTTTGGGGATCGCGTGATTGGGAAGGAGAGGTTAGGGCTGGCCTCGGGCTTGCCTGCATCCAGGTTTCTCTCCTTCCTCTCCCTTTGTCTGTCTCTCTCCTCTGCTTTTCGCTCCTTGTTGGTTTCATCTCTCAGATCTGTCATGTGGCCGCGGAGGTGACCACAGCAGCTCTGAGGTCAGGCTCACAGTTTGGCATCTGAAATGAAAGAGCAATACCTCCACCTCTGATTTGGAAAATTCCAGGGAAGAACGGTGTAGGTCAGACTGGGTCCCATGCCAGAAGGGACAGAAAATTCTGATAAACAGCCTTGGGGGAGGAAAGAAATATTCTGAAAAATGGTGAGGTAAGGAAGCAAGAGAATCTTGATGCCAGAAGGGGCTGGTATGTCAGACAGACTTACTCTATCAGGAAGGGAATGCCTTTTAACGTCATTCTTCTCTAGTTGATATTTCTTCTTTGACCAAGGTCAGTTTGCTGATGCCAAGAGATTGGTTACTCCACAGTCTCATAAAGATCAAGTTACTTAACCTTCCTCATACTAATATGGCTTAATAATACTATATCTCATGAGGTAGTTGTGAGGCCTACAGAATAGCATCTACCTCACAGGGATGCTCTAAGGACCAAGTGCTCAGCGTGGCACCTGACACACAGTAAGTGTTTGGTCAAGGAAAGCTTTCGTAATTACCATTGTTATTAATAACAATGACAGAGGAGATCCAATTAGGAGAATTTGGGCAAGAATGTAGGGCGTGGCCTTAAGAGACCAGAAGTGCCATCACCTGTCTGGGACATACGGTCAGAGCTCAACCAGAGTGTGAAGACGGAGCACCTTCGTTCCCCCCGTGTCAAGGGACAAGGCTGGATCAGCTGCTGAGGCTGGGATTCCAGCAGATCCTTCTGTAAAGAGAAGAAGAGTGGAAGATACCAACCTCACCTCGAAGGAAATAGCAGCTTAGCAGGGAACTAGTACTAACGGGCATCAACAGTTAAAGCAACAGTACGTACAGTCGTATTACAATCATGCAAAGTAAGACCTGCATTTGGTGAGGTATGTAGGAAAACAAGAGCCTGAAAGGAGTGAGCCAAATGTTACCTGTGGGAATCTCTAGGAGATGGGAACATGAGTTGTTGTTCTTGTTTTTTAAGATTATGAATTTATTTTGTAATTAAGAAAAAAAAGTGCTAGTTTTAAGTGATGTAAGACAACTTATAACTCAGTTAAGAGTTCTGGAACACCACTGAAGTGAGAAATCCTGTGCTCCAGACGAACATGGGAAGACATCATAAGGGGTGACATTTTGGGGACTCCTGAAGGATGGATGGGGTGTACATGTATAGAGGGGAGAAGACAGCTCTGGCGAGGAGCCCTGAGCAAGTGGATAATCATGGCAGGTTCAATGATCACCTTATTGCCTCTCAACTCCACGTCCACTCTTTGCTCTGCTTCCTGATTCTGGAGTTGGACCCTATGGACATTTCTCTTTGGCCAGCTGGCACAACGCCAGGCTCTGTCCCGCTACCATTGTTCAGGGGGTGGAGAAAGATCCTGACCAAGGAGGGCCTACAAAGAGCAGACCGAGATTAGCCAGAAAAAGCACAAGAAAATCATGCAGGGTCTTTACCTCCAGATGGAGAAGGAGTTCATTCGTGAATTGAAAGCCTAGTGAGACATCTTCCCAACGTTGCCAAAGGTCTCCCAGGGCCTAACACAGCCGGTGAGGCTTCCCCAGCATCTTGTCTTCCGGCGTGCTCGTTCCTCCTTCTGATGGTCTGGACCTTCCTAAAGGTACCGACTTCTCATCAGGCTGAGCACACACTTGTCATAGCACTTTACTGGCCCATGGCGTTGCCACTACCTAGAGCAACCTCTTTTACTCCTTGATGCCTTGACTATTTGTCCTTCAAAAGGCTGATCAGGCATGCTATTGGTGTAAAAAGTTTCCCCTGAGTCTCTTCCCTCCAGCTTAAAACCTTCCCCCTGTACATCCTTCTAGACTACCTCTGTTCCACGCATCATGTTAACTTAGGCTGATTCAGTGTCTGTTCATCTTTTCCACCACTGAACTTCTTCATGGCTTTAATGATCCCCTGTATCTCCAGAGACTAGCAGACTGCCTGGAACATGGCAGGTGAACTGAATCAATGTGGGCTGCGCCCCGACTGCTGAGAATGTCTTTTGAAGGCAGGATTATATTATTCTGGGAGATTAGAACACTCAGAATTAGTGGGGCATCATTGTTAGGGGCAGGACAGCATTTTAGTGCTTCTGATTTGGGAGATGTTGGTTAACCAATATCTATTCCAATAAATTCCATCACTGTCACGTTTCTCTCTGTCTGTCTTCTCTCGCTAGTGTACACATGCAGAGGTAGATGGTGGAGGAATTAGAATCTACCATTAATCAGTCTGCCTTGGGCTCAAACTTTGAAATTACAAGAAGGAAAACATCTGGACTTCCTCATGAGAATCTTTGCAATGTCCATTTCTGTTAAAATGCCTTTTTGACATAAACAAAGGGAAAGTTCATAGGCGTACTATAGAATATTCACAACATTGCTGGCATTCTGCAAAGAATTGGGCTGGTTAAGTGGCTCCCAGGTCACTCTTACCTATCCCAAGCTGAGAGCATCTAGATTTTGATTGGATTATTGCCAGAGCTCATTAGCATAGTGTACCTTGACCTGGATTAGGGAACAGCAGCTTCTGCAGAGAAAATGATCAGAGCTTGCTGGGACCTGAACCAGAGATGAGATTTTTATGACACAGTTTTGTCTACATCTCCATAAGAAGTCAGAGGTAAGGAAACCATTACAAAGTTTCAGTTGTAAGATTAAAAAAAAAAAATGGGGAAGTAATATACAGCATAGGAAATATAGTCAATAATATTGTAATAACTTCATATGGTGACAGATGGTAACTTATGATGATCATTTTGTGATGTATAAAAATATCGAATCACTACGTTGTACACCTGAAAGTAATATTGTAAATCAATTATACATCAATTAAAAAAAAAAGGTAAAGAAGCCAGAAATCCTGAGGAGAGACAAATGTAAGGGATGTGATAATGGCCACCTCATTTCTACAGGGTTTCATTTCTTCTGGTCGGTTTTCTGTAGAAATAATGAAACTTGAACAAGTTTCAAGCTTGGCCCAAGTTGCTTTGAAAAAAGAAAGTCTTGACAAATGGACTTTTTTAATCCTAGAGGAACACTGAATTGGCTTGTTTATGTTTTAAAGGCTGTAAACCATCTTTTCTTCTCTCCTGTGTTTTGGTCTTAACTTTCAGAGAAATATTAAGTTCATGTTCATTCATTTGTCAAGAATTTATATCAGAAAAAAATCGAAAAAGCAATGTAGTTTTTCTGCAGCAGGATTTTTGATTCCCCTTCCCTTAATTTAAAAACAAAAGAATTATATCTATTTACATTGCCTAGGCTTAAAACAATGTCTTTGATTTTTTGAAATGTGAATCTTGTTATTCAAGGTTTTTTAAAAAGGTCATCCTGTTCCAGTTAGCTGTAACAAATTTTAGACCATCCAAGTTACTGTTGTTAATGTTAAAGAAGTACATAAAACCGTTGCTATCACATTTATCCTTGATATTTGCGTCTGACATACTTGTTTAAGTCTATGGCATCATTTCTTCAGTAACTTAGTGTTTATTTGCCAAACATAGAATTTGATTTAAAACTCAATGGGGATTTAATCTTGCACATCAGTGTTTGAACTGGGGGGCAGGGGTTTCATCTTTTTGAGTCTTGGACCACTAAGTTGTAGGTGAGTGTGGGTAGGTGCATTAGGGAAGGAAGAGACTCCTATTAGATTGTTATTTAGTGGCCAAGAACTTCATTTACATGTTCACGTCAACAGTCTTCTATATCCATACACTTGCCCTCAGTACATCTCAGTGAGTGACAAGCATTAGGGTTACATAAAGCTAAGTAACTGAGGAACAGAGTGCATGGGACTTCCTAAGGTTGAGACTATTAAACTAACTTGTGGTTTGAGTGACTTTTAAGTAGTTCTATGTAACATCATTATGGCCCTTGTTTTTTACTACTTTTTTTTTTTTTTTTTTTTGCGTTACGCGGGCCTCTCACTGTTGTGGCCTCTCCCTTTGCGGAGCACAGGCTCCGGACACGCAGGCTCAGCGGCCATGGCTCATGGGCCCAGCCGCTCGGCGGCATGTGGGATCTTCCCGGATCGGGGCACAAACCCGTGTCTCCTGCATCGGCAGGCAGACTCTCAACCACTGCGCCACCAGGGAAGCCCATGGCCCTTGTTTTTACTAGCGCACCAGCGAATGGAAATGTCACACACGTAAACGTGTTTTACCTCATATTCTGCTAACAAGCACATTTCATCTCAAAATGATTGTCTTTTTTTTCCCCCAGACTTGAACACTTTTAATTTCTTTCCTTCTTTTATTTTTTCTTTTCTTTTCTTTTCTTTCTTTCTTTCTTTTTTTTTTTGGTGGGGGGTAAATCCCCTTTAACCAATTATAACTAGAAACTAGTATTTCTCATGGTGGAAAAAAAACACAGTTTGCACAAACATTTTTGAACATCTATTGTTTATACAATACAATTTAATCAGAGTAAAGTCAGACAGACTTTTCTTGTAGGGGGCAGATTGCTAAAGATAAAGCCAGAAAGTCTTGAAGGGTGCTTTGAATTAAACAAAGTTGAGAAACACTATTTTAGAGCAATAGTTCTCAAACAGTTTTTACCCCCAGGGGACATTTGGCAATGTCTGGAGATATTTTTTAACAAGGAGGGGTGGGTTGCTACTGACACCTAATGGGCAGAGACCAAGGATGCTGCTGAACATCCTACAATGCACAAGGTAACCTCCACCACAAAGAGTTATCAGGTTTGAAATGTCAATATCGCCAAGGTTTTAGAGGAGTCTATCGTTTGATGATATTTGAAGATATAAAATACATACTGGATTGTTCATCTCTATGGAAATTTAGATTTTAAAAAAGACTTCTAGACACATCTGGTTGTGATGTTCCCCTCTTGTAACACACCCCAGGTTAGCTAATTTATGAAGGTGTATCCATGGAAACAACTCTAAGCCAGCTATCCCTCCTGCCCCAACACAGGTACACGGAGGATAAGGTTTTAACCATTGGCTACAGGTGACAACGGTCCTTACTAAGGCCTTCCTGCTTGGGGCTAGCAATGAGGAAGGAAGCCTAAATCTGAGAGTGAAATTGATGATCTCCTTTTGATTTCCCAAGGTCAAGCTTTATTTCAGCAAGGTCACTAAGGGCTCCTACATTTTGTTTTTGTTTGTATGTTGATTCTTTGCCAAAATATCAATGAAACAGGCCTTTCTGGCAGACGAGCACTGATTTTTATCACTTTAATGGTCAGTATTACTGTCATTTATTTTTTAGTGTCAGAAGACAGTCTACTGGTCTAAACTGCCTGGGCGGACTAATCCAACTGTGTTAAGAGCCTTTGAGAGCAAAATTCTCAAGCACTCCTGAGGGCAGTTGGACAGACGGAAACCTGTGGGCGACCCGACTTTATCATGGAACTTGAGAACGTTGATTCTGAGGACAAAGAGACGTTAAGCTGGGATATTAATGATATGAAACTGCCACAGGTATGTACTTGCTTTAACACCGGCTTCAGCATTTGGCTGTGAAGCCTTGACCGGTAACTTGCTAAGACCTGGAAGGAACTTGGTGAGGGTCCCAGCTGGGTAAACACCTCTCCTCCAGAGCTTCGGCTGGACATCTGACTGAGGACTTTTGAGAGGAGGTGCTAAGATCTATGAATTGAGCAAGCCCTTACCAACCAGACTCACCCGGTTACAGACAGAAGCAAAGAAAATGTTACTTCCCTTCTCTTTCAAAGTTGGCTTGGCTCAGATGGCACCCGCCTGCTAGCTAGTAAAACAAAATCCACGCTAATGTGTTTGTCCATAGATCGACTCTCTGTAATGCACAAGCTCCCATACTACCTTATTTGCTATAGTCATGGGTTTAACCTAAATCTGTCACTGGAATGTCCTGGTGAGAGTGCTCTTCTAGACCTTTTGTAACTAGTACACAGTCCACAGACATGGGGCTCCTCTCCAACTACAGAGTGACTTTCATTTCATGTTTTCTTTGCTTTATCTTTGGCAATTGCCTTTTTTTTTGGCTGCCTCGGGTCTTAGGTGCGGTGCATTGCATGGGCTTTTCGTTATGGTGCGAGGGCTTCTCTCTAGTTGTGGCATGTGGGTTTTCTCAAAGTTGTGGTGCGAGGGCTCCAGAGCATGTGGGCTGTGTAGTTTGCGGTACACAGGCTCTCTAGTTGAGGCTCGCGGGCTCAGTAGTTGTGGTGCGCGGGCTTAGTTGCCCCAAGACATGTGGGATCTTAGTTCCCTGACCAGGGATTGAACCCACAACCCGTGCATTGGAAGGCGGATTCCTTACCACTGGACCACCTGGGAAGTCCCAGCAATTGACATTTTTAACTCTTAATTTGGTGGAAAACATTAGTTGTTTTAATTTTTTTTTTTTTTTTTTTGTTGGCCACGCCACATGGCATGTGGGATCTTAGTTCCCCAACCAGGGACTGAACCCTGGCAGTGAAAGCACCGAGTCCTAACCACTGGACTGACAGGGAATTCCCAACATTAGTTGTTTAAAACTGACTTTCTTGAGCTCCCTTTTTGGCCTTTCTTCCAGTGAAGAATGTTCCAGTGAAGAATGTTTTCACTGGAAATTTTTGGGAAAGGTGGCTGGGAAAGCTAAGACTGGGAGACCACCAGTACCATCTAGTGAAAGGTCAAGCTCATCTGCCTGATTCTGGGGAACAAGAAATTTGAATTATCCCAAGCAGGGGAGAGGGAATGGAGATTCCACAGTCTTGATTTATAATCATTCCAAATTTCACTCTAATGAAGGCTTCCAGATCATTCCAAATTTCACTCTAGTGAAGTGTTTCTTTTATAGATTTTTTTTTTTTTTTTTTTTCCCAAGCCCTGTGGTATGCGGGATCTTATTTCTCTGACCAGGGATTGAACCTGTGCCCCCTGCCATGGAAGCTCAGTCTTAACTGCTGGACCACCAGGGAAGTCTCCCAAGTGTTTCTTTTGTTTTTTTTTATGTTTACCCTTAAATCTCCTCCCGTATTATCTCTGGGTAGGTCTTAGAAAAGCTGGGAAGCACCAAGTATGCCCTACTTTCCATCCATTTAAGGATGGTTCAATACACTACAGCTAAATCATGCAAATATCTATTTTAAGGATCTATCTTTGTAGTTGCTTGTAATTGGTTTACAATAGTTGTAGCTGTTTTAGAGGAAACTTTAAGGTAAATTTTAATTACTCCTGGCTCAGGGACCCATATTCCTAGTTCATGATTGCAGCTCTCAAATAGAGAAGATGGACATCCTCAAAAACAAGAGTTGAAGGAAGCAGGCACATAGATGATTTTGCAAAGTCACATCGTAGAGTAGGAGCTTTAATGGGGTCTAAGAACCCTCTGACATGGCGGGCAACACTGTACTAACGTTTATTTTTTCTGGGACAGAGGATTCATATCATTCATCAAATCTGTAGACAAAAGGAAGAAACACTTCCCTGGAGGGGATCTCAGGGCTCATAAAAGTTCATGTTCCAACATGAATTTTCCAAAACTCAAGCATTCTCAGCTACCCAAGACATTAAAATGAGACATTTACAATAAAAATACACATTCAATTTTGGAAGTGCATCATTTTTAGTTCGTAGAAAAAGTTTGATTGTTCGTGGAAATAGGTAAGTGTCCTTCAATTCATTAAATATGCCAGGGAAATGATTAAAAGAGCAAAATATTCCTTAGTAGTTTCTGAGCAGAGTCAACAACATCCTCATCTGGGTTTATGCTGGCTTTGGAATCGTATCAAGACCTAGTTGAGGTGAAAGATAAAAGGTCTTGGAAGGATTTCCAAGCACAGTAGATTTTATACTTCAAGAGAGTTTCTGAAGGCAGAGTGGTGTATGGTGAGAACAGGGCTAGGAGACCAAGTCCTGGCTTTGAATTCCAGTCCTGCCTCTTTTTATTTGTAGAATTTCACGGGGTGGTTTAGCTTTTCTGAGGCTCCCTTTCCTCTTCTGATAATGAAGTGCTTGCACTAAATAGTCTCTTACGGACCCTTTCAGTTCTAAGAGTCTAGGATTTGGTGACCTGAGATTTGGAAGACAGCCTGCACCCTAGAATGGGGGCCGGGTGCCAACCACAGGGCCTGGTACGTGTTAAACACAAGCAACAAATACGAAATTCATGAATGATTGGCTCTATGGCTTATCTGTGTGACTCTAAACCAATCTATTTTCTTAAGTCTTCATTACCTCCTCTGTAAAATGAAAATAGTAATTCCTTAGATACCTTTCTTAAATGTCTAAGCTGTTTAGAACAAATGTGTTCCCAAAATGTGTTCTGTAGTGTGTAAGTTACAAGGAATTTTCATGGATGCTGCGAAGGAAGAAAAGGACTAAGTTTAATGAAGTTAAGCCAATTTTTTTTTTGGCCACACTGTGCATCATGCAGGATCTTAGTTCTGACCAGGGATCGAACCCGTGCCCCCTGCAGTGGAAGTGCGGAGTCCTAACCACTGGACCGCCAATTTCTCTACTGCCAACATGGTGCCTTTCTTACTGCACTGGCGGCTCTCCCAAGAGGAAGTTGTTGGCATTGTTGCCCTATCATAGTTTTGACTACAGAGCCCTTTTTCATGGAGCCCCTTGGGCGATGAGTGTGCCTCAGACCATCTGTTCGAGCATTAAAACATATGTTTTAAAGGATTACATCTATAATAACATGCACTGGCTTATTACTATTATACATTTCCCCAATTCCATTCTTTTTCCCACCCATACAAAGAATTTACAGTTTATTGTTCATATTTTTATATTCTTGCCAGGATTCCTGCAAATTCCTGTAGCTTGTAGACAAATTCCTTTCTTATTAATGCACCCCACTGCTTCAAGTTTTGAGATGGTTACAAGAGTGCTCACTGCATCTTTTGGTCCTGGGAACTCCATAGCCCTTTATACATCTCAGATAGATCACGATCTATGGGTTAATTTTTGGCAACAGTGAACAATGACATCCTTATCAGGATAGCAGAGATTTTTGAGTGCCGGGGATGTGCCAGACACCATAGCAGGCTCAGGGATACAGGGGCCGTTAAGCTATGCTAACTTTCACGGAAGGGCTCATGATCTTCTGGGCCAGTGAAGCAATACCAGTGTCCAAACAGAGAATCGATACCGTGTAGAAAAATGCCGGAGGCGCTGAAAGAGGACGTACATAATTCAGCGTGACGCAGGCATGAGGAACAAGGCATAACATCTGGCAAAAGTCTCTCTGGACACATACATTGTAAAAGGTGAGAGGATTAAGGCAGGTGAAGATAAGAAAATCCAGGCAGAGTAGAGCACTTTGAAGACTGTTCAAAGGCTACATATGGGGAAGCTGTGCACAGACAGCAAGGGGATCTGGGAGGCTACCGGCGTGAAAGGTGGTTTGGACGCAGGCTATCCTAAGATGATTCAGTTATTTTATTTTATTTTATTTTTTAAATTTTTTTAAAGCATTCTTTTAAAAAAAAATTTATTTAATTATTTGGCTGTCCCAGGTCTTAGTTGTGGCGCATGGGATCTTCAATCTTCTTTGCGGCATACAAACTCTTAGTTGCCGCATGTGGGATATAGTTCCTTGATCAGGGATCGAACCTGGGCCCCCTGCATTGGGAGCACGGAGCCTTAGCCACTGGACCACCGGGGAAGTCCCAATTCAGTTTTTTGTTTTTTTTTAAGGCAGTGGGAAGCCGTTAGGCTTGTTGAGCTGGAAAGCATCATGATCAGGTCTAGGGCTTGGACGGTCTCTTGCCCTCACTAAATCATCCCTCCCTGGATTTGTTTCATGTGTTCTTCTCCCTGCTTTAAGCTGCATGTATGTCTTTATAAATCTTCATTCACTCATTTCTGATCACTTGCCTAGCTTCTGGTTATTTTGATACCACTTCTCCTTTATCCAGCCTCCACAGAGTCAGCCCAGAACTTCAGGCACTTAACTTACTCAAAACCATCATTGATAAAAGCCTCTTTATTCCAGACCAATGTAGTACACTAATTTTGCTTTCCCTTCCTATGCTATTAAACTACATTTGCATTTTCAAAGTTCAAATATAATTGCTTTAGGGTTTGCTTGGTCCAAGCAGCAAATGTCTGGGGTTGGGTTAGTCTTACCTTTATTAAAAATGTTCACTACATGGTTCATTACACGGATACTTCTTATTAATACTGATTGTTAATACTTGGGAGCCATGAACCCCTAAGAAATTTATTTATTTTTTTCCTGGTTGAAAATCAGGAAGAAAACCAATTCCTTGTTCTCCTAAATAGTACCCACTGAGCAGGGAGATGGAAGCAGCCACTCTGCTCCCAGCACCTGCAAGTTTCTCTGAGCAGAAACACAAAGTGTTTCAATAGCCCCACAGCAGACAAACACCCCGAATCACTCTGTTCATGAACATGAGCAGTTTCCAGATGAAACCCATGACCAAAGCCACACCAAGCCATTAACTCACACAATTCCAAGGTTTAAGTATACTTTTTGCAGAGAAAAC